GCGCCGTCGCTATCGCTGCCGGATGGTTCTCCAGTTTGCGGAGACCCGGCAAGAGGAAGAAGAGCTACCAGAAGCAAGCTAAGAGCGCCTGGGATCTCACCGTCTTGTCCACCACGGTCAGTCCAATACGCGGCGCGGCGCGGCGAGCGCGTTTCATAACTTTCATCTTTCATTTCCCGCGAGTGACGATTCAATTTTTACTTCGTAGCTACTTAGGTATATCTTTGGACGTAGGGGATTTGTCAAAAAAAGAATTGACGTTTCAAGAATATTGACGCGACGCGAAAACGAATAAACGATACGCCAAAGTTCCTTCAAGGTCGACTCGCGCCGACTCGCGCCGACTCGCACTCGCCAGATTTATTTCGAGATCTATCGTTCGGTTCGGAGCTTAACCGCGCCGCTGCGTCGTCGAACGTTATACATACATTCGCGGGAATAACGGCTTCGAATTTGTTCAAGGACACATTCGCGTGATACTATGGGTGCATTCCGTTTCACGCATTATGTGCATGCATACAATGCATCATTTATCCTTGTTCGACATACGGCGAACAACAAGGATAAAATATTCATCGTGCGCATCACGCGGGAAACGGAATGCACCCTATTTATATTTCAAGTGTGCCGATATTTAGTAGACTTTCGTAAATTGCAAGAGAAACAGGAGTCGCGTGCGCGCGAGACGTTGTGGTAATAATTCGTAATTTTTTAAGTAAGAATGTCATCAAGTTTATTCGAGAGTCAAAAGTTAAAGTTTCACACATGTACGCGTAATAAGATATCGCGGTATTTTCAAGTTTCGATAAGAAATTTGCGATAAAATTAAAATGACAATTCGATTCAAGCTACGATCCACGACATCGTCGCTCCATGACTCGTCTAGGGCGAAGAATCAAATGAGAGATAGATGTGATCGCTTCCAATATACTAACGTGAATGTAAGATTACACGCGCGCGTATAATGAGAAGATGGAATGGCAATTGCCATTGACGGGTGATAGCAATCGCGAAAGGTGTGCGGTGTGTGTGTGTGTGTGTGTGTACATATGCATATATATCTATGTATAATATATACATATATGTCGAATATTTAACGTAAACGTTTACTTTCATCAATAAGGTAATATCGCGCAACGTCACGAATTGAAGAGGCTTATTTATAGAAGAAACCGAGACGCGCGGATGCGATGCACTAGCGCTCGCTCGTCGTGTATGCGTATGTCGCGTCGCGTCGCGTCCTAGGTATAATGCGGTAATGATGTACGGATGTGGCCATATACATAGAATCGTATGCGCTTCTCAACACGATGCGATTTATCTCGAGAATATTACGTAAATAATTACTACGGCTCTCGATAGTTACATCATCTGGAAAGAATGAATCGAATCCATTTCATCCTTTTTTTTCTTCTCCCTATTTAGCAGCCTTGTACCCTGTATGGTACAAGAGATTAGCCAGGTCAGTGATAGATTGAACCGTTCGAATTGAATGATACGATGACACGGGTATAGCGATGTGGAGCGAAAGTAGATCGACAACACTTACACCGCGTATACGCGTAACGCTAGATTTAAATAGCCTACTTTGACACATCTTTCACCCGAGGTGTTACGCA